AATGGGAGGGGTGTCTGGAGCCATCATCATTTCTGCTGGTAATGAGTATCTAATCTCCACAGTGACTGTGCTCATGTCCAGGTTATAATCTTCTTGTGCCATTGCAACAAGTTCAGCATGTGTTGAATCTTCATTCAATAAAAACAATCTTGCTCCTTTGAGATCATCAACCACAAAATCCCAACGGCAATCTTTCAACGACCATTCTCCATACACTGCATGTAACTGACGAATCATCTGCAAAAAATCAAAATAAAACACATTAGTAAACATAGAGAATTTCATGAAAGTTTACTAAACATCGTCTGGACGACATACTGGACGACATACCAGTAAGTCGTCCGGACGACTTACCCGTAAGTCGTTCGGACGACTTACTTCTAAGTCGCCCATTGAGGTCATTTTTGCAATTGAAATTTAAATGGGACGACTTACTTCTAAGTCGTCCAGCTTTGGTTGTTAAAAAAAAACTCCACACGACTTAATTATAAGTCGTCTAGATAAAACGGTCTACTTTTGCTTTTGACCGAATTGTGTCAGATATTTGACTTTTTCTGGACGAGTTAAAATTAAGTCGTCCCTGGGAAAGTTAAAATTTCAATATTTTATTAAATCTAGACGACTTAATTATAAGTCGTCTCAGGTTTGTTTTGCAATTCAAAAATAAAACTTAAATTTTTAACTTTTCCAGACGACTTAATTAGAAGTCGTCTGATCAGAAGACTTATGTTAAAGTCGTCCAGAATAAGCAAGGTTTGACCAGAAAACTCGAAAAATATTCTGGACGACTTTGATTATCCTGGACGACTTTAATATAAGTCGTCTGAGCGGTCGACTTTTAATTAAGTCGTCTGGAGAAGTTAAAAATTTAAGTTTTATTTTTGAATTGCAAAACTAACCTGAGACGACTTATAATTAAGTCGTCTAGATACAATAAAATATTGAAATTTTAACTTTCCCAGGGACGACTTAATTTTAAGTCGTCCAGAAAAAGTCAAATATCTGACACAATTCGGTCAAAAGCAAAAGTAGACCGTTTTATCTAGACGACTTATAATTAAGTCGTCTGAAGTTTTTTTTTTAACAAACAAAGCTGGACGACTTAGAAGTAAGTCGTCCGTTTGACCAGAAGACTTATCTGTAAGCCTTCTACATCCAGAAGACTTACGGGTAAGTCTTCTACGCGAAGAGATCTGGAAAAAAATTCAATTTCAAACCTTAAACTAGGTGAGATGACTTCCTTTGCACACAGAGTCTTCTCCAACCACCCAGAACATTGAACGAAAGTAACCCACCAACAATTGTATGCTTAAATGGCTCTATCAACCATAAAAAATTTGCTATCAAAAGCTTGGGTTTTTGGCATGAATATGGAGACAAAATGAAGGAGATGTTGTTTTTAGTTCATAACAATTGAGAAAGAGAGTATGAGTATCGATTTTAAGTGCATTAAAAGCTTCAAACCTTTGTTGTACAAGGTTGTTGGGTTGTACAAGGTTGTTGGGAGTATTCATGGCAATGGCAATGTTGCAAATACTTGAAGATGATGAGGTTGAGAGAGTAAAAAGGCCATTTTCGAAAAAAGTAAAAAAAAAATTTAATGGCATTTTCGTAAATAAAATGAAGATGTGGGGTGGATAGGACAAAAACAAGATGAGTTAAAAGAAGAAGTTAGTTTTGTGTTTGACCATGAGTTTTGAGTCAAATTTGCAAAAACTCCTTTTTATATATATATATATATTTGTCATTTATGGTAATTCCGTAACTTTTATTTAAGGAAAAAAAAATAAAATAGTAATTCTATTTAGCAGGACAATCATAAATGTTTCTATCATAAATATCATATCATATAGTTTGACCAACAAATATATCTAGCGACATATAAAAATCGAATGTGGACCTACTTATTTTTCAATTGAATGTAATTGACTACAATTTTTCAAATGTTTCTCAATTAATATATAGGGGATATCAATATCAATTATATTTATATCCGGTATAATAGTAAACCTTACCTTATTATGTCACAAACACCAGCAAATAAATATTAACTGCTATTTTTCTCTTTGATAAAAGCGTAGTATTATTATAAATACTATTTAAGTTATGTCACAAACACCAGCAAAAAAAATATTAATTGTTATTCTTTTCTTTGATAAGACCGTAGTATTATTATAGATATTATTTAAGTTTTAATGTAGACAAAAATCAGCGACGGCAATAATAATAGCATCTGCATTGGAAATCTCCTTTGCCTATATCTTGGCACTTAGCAAAAGATCCTTTTGCCCTCTTTTTGATACATTCGTCTGAACATTGTTTAGGATCACATTTTCCAGTATTGTTTGGGTATGCTTCAACACAAGTTTCTTTTGTGCTTGGTCCTCCTTTTTGAGCAGTCACCATTATTCCTGTTATTATAATAATTAAAATACAACATTGGTTTTGTATTTAAAACAGAAACTTAATATTTTGAAAAATAAATGTTTTCAGAGTTTTTTTGCATATTTATAGAAAATGATATTCTAAACATCTTATTTCTTAATCATTGATTATTCTTGGAGAGTTACTAAATCAATATAATGGAAATACAACATCAAAATAACTTTATCTTAGAATGGTTATATGATATATATATATACTAAAAATTGTAAACGTAAATACATACCTAGTAAAAAAATTGTGAGCATAATGAAGCCAATACGAGAAGTTTGGAAAGAAAATTTCATTATGAAATAATTGTGTGTTAAAATTAGAATGATAAAAAATTATATTTATAGATGAATCACAATACTGTAACATATCTAATTTAAACGATGTTTCTTTTAGAATTCCGAAATAAAAGGATCTAGTTTGACCAGTTTTTTTTTTTTTAAAAAATCAACTTTTATTTATTTATGGGAAATTGCACTGTATAACGTTCAATAATTTAATAATTCACTATCTATCTAATTACCCTAACTTTTTACTGTTTCTCTTACCTTTTATATAATATGACCGTATTGCCCCTATTTTGAACCGGAAAACCTGCTACTAAAAACATTAAATCAATAATTATTCTTCTGCAAAAATAAATCGTGTTCTTTCCAGAATCACACATTTTCACATAATAACTTTTTATTGGCAAATTCTCCCTTTATTTATTTAATAGATAAATAGTCTGACTCATCTATTATATTAAAATAGAAGTCATGACTCACTTCATGTGTGATATTTTAGTTTGGACTACCTTTAGAGTTTTATAAAATTTTACATAACATTATAATATCTTTTCATATCTTTAATATTTGTTTGAAATATAAATAAATAGTTTTAATAAAATTGTAACAAAATCTTTTAAAAATCTTTTAGAATCTTTTTCAAGATATAGCTTCAAAAATTATTTGATTAAAATTTTAATTAGCATAAAATAGAATTAAAAATTTAATTCATTTATAATTTATAAACAAAAAATTAAAATTATGTAAAATACTTTTAACAATATCCCAAAATTTTGTTTATGTATTATGTAAGTCCAACTTAATTAATTTTTACATAGATTACAAATTTAGATATAAAACAAAATATATAAATTAGTAATCTTACATAATAATGTTTTTAAAAATTGTTACAAAAATACAAATTTATAAAATTTATATTAATAATATTATAATTCACATAATAATTATTATAAAATTGGATAACATACATAATGAAATTATATTTATTTATTGATAAATTTTATTTTATAATTTCAAATATTTTCGTATTAAAATACCCGCACAACCATGCGGGTCAAAATCTAGTCTTATATATTAAAAGAGAAGTCATGACTTCACTTCATGTGTGATATTTTAAAATGGACCATCTAATAGAATTTATGACATTACATTATTCAATCATTAGTAACATTCATTAGATTCACTAATAACATTTATTGGGCTTTCTAGAAATTTTTATTGGGCTAATAAAAATTAGATGATCCATTGAATTTATAGATATTATAATAAAATACATGTTTAAATTAAACTTATATAATTTAATATTGTAATAGTATAAACTAACTATTTATATATTTTTGATGTTAACTTTGAAATTATATAGTTTATTTTTAAAATATCAAAAATCATCATTTTCTAACAATAATTAATCTTTACTATATAATAATTAATCATCATTTTCGATTTACATACCTTATATAATATATACCAATTTCGAAGTAAAAAAATGTTTATATAAAAATAAATGAAAACAAATACCCACGCGGTTACGCGGGTTGAGATCTAGTTTATTTTTAAGTTCGAATGAAGATTCAAATAGTTAACGACCATTTGTTCACAGAACAATTCCACGTAATAATTATCAAAAATAAATAAAAACCATCAGCAATCATTGGTGGGCCATATCTTCTAAAAAAAGAAAACATCATGCTCACCGTAATGAGAAAGTGATCATTAAAATCATGAACTTTCAAATTAAAACAAAAAAATCTCTAATTCACGTTTTCGCCAAAAAAGTTTTCAACTTTTAAATATTAGCTGTTTTAACTCTTATATTTTATTGATATGGCCATTTAAGAAACCTGAATAGTCAACTGTTAAACTCGATAATAAAACAGATTATATTAATTCTTTAAACGACATAGTTTTAAAAAGTAATTCTATTATATTAAAAGAGAAGTCATGACTCACTTCATGTGTGATATTTTAGTTTGGACCATCTTTAGAGTTTTATAAAATTTTACATAACATTATAATATCTTTTCATATCTTTAATATTTTTTTGCAATATAAATAATAGTTTTAATAAAATTGTAACAAAATCTTTTAAAAATCTTTTAGAATCTTTTTCAAGATATAGCTTCAAAAATTATTTGATTAAAATTTTAATTAGCATAAAATATAATTAAAATTTTAATTCCTTTTTAATTTATAAAAAAAAATTAAAATTATGTATTATGTAAGTCCAACTTAATTAATTTTTACATAGATTTCAAATTTAGATATAAAACAAAATATATAAATTAGTAATCTTACATAATAATGTTTTTAAAAATTGTTACAAAAATACAAATTTATAAAATTTATATTAATAATATTTTAAGTCACATAAAAGTTATTATAAAATTGGATAACATACATAATCAAATTATATTTATTTATTGATAAATTTTATTATATAATTTCAAATATTTTCGTATTAAAATACCCGCACAACCGTGCGGGTCGAAATCTAGTCTTATATATTAAAAGAGAAGTCATGACTTCACTTCATGTGTGATATTTTAAAATGGATCATCTAATAGAATTTAGGGAGTTTTGCAAAAACAACCAAAAATTCAAGTCAAACACAAAACCAACCTCTTTTTTTTTGTCATTACTATTCACTCTTAAAAAACCTAAACTCTCCTCATGTTTCTACCTATTTACCACAATGCCATTGTCATCTATATTTGCAACCACCAAAAACCACAATTGGTGAGCTCTTTAAGCTTGTGTTTATGAATTTTCAACCACTTATTTCACTTTCTAAACAAACGATACTTCATATCCTCTCATTTCCTCTCTATTTTCATCTAAACAATCCTCATAACTCTCATTTTCATAAACACAAACTTCATAGTTTCGATTTTATCCACAAGTGAATCGTAAAGGTTGTTTCTTTTGCTCATATTTGGATTCTGGACAGTGGAAAAGCATGGAAACAAGCTTTAAACCGGTGTCAAGGTAACTATTTACATGCTTTTCGTCATATCTCTGTTCTGTATCGCGAAAGTAGACTGTATTATATGTCTACACATATGTGTAGACTTACGATGCAGTCTACTTGTCAACGCACAGGTTACTTTTGCAATTGATCAAAATAATTTTTTTTTGTAATGTAGACCTACAAGTACGTCAACGTCTTTACCTTTGAAACCAAAAACAAAAAAAATTGGTAGACTTACTAAGAAATCTACATAAAACAGGTTAGATTTGCATTTGACCAAAATTTTGACTTACCATAGTAGACTTTCGTGGAGATCTACACTTTGTAGACTGCTAGGTAAGTCTACGGAAGGTCAGTTTTGCATTTGACCAAAACTTTGACTTCGTTGAATAGGTTATTGCAAAACTAACATGTCGGGTTATAATGTAGACTTTTACTGCAGTCTACAGTTACGTAGACATTTAGTTTTGTCTACTCGTAGAAAGTCAACTTTGGTCAATTGCAAAACTAACATCTTTCAAACAAATTTAAAAATGTAGACTGCATAATAAGTCTACTTCTAAAAGTCAAACTCTGAATGAATTTTGGTCAATTGCAAAACTAACCTCTTTAAAAATGTAGACTAAAAAGTAAGTCTACTCGTATAAAATCACATCTTTTTTTCAAATACAGAAAGTAACCCGTGAATTTGGTAATTGCATAAACCAACCTAAACGTAGACCTAATTTTCAGTCTACATACTGTAAACTGAATAAAACGTCTACACTTCTGTAGACTGAATATGTAGTCTACCTTGTAAAATCTATCAAAAGTGGATTTGTGTATTATTCATTAAGTTTTTTCAAAACTTTTTTTTATGAAAGTGTGTGTTAGTTAATCATAAGTGTCTTGAATGATTTTCAGAAGATAATCTGTTATAATTAGGAAGTTATCAAATTTTTTGTTTGTCTATGTTGTTAGCTTAAAATTTGTAGACGTACTTCTAAGTCTATGATATAATTTTATCAAACATGAAATTTTGGTTTGCTAATTATGTAAACCGTATTGTTTTGCAGGAAATGGCTCAACTACCTGTTGTATACGGAGAATGGGTGGTGAAAGACTCTTTGTGGGAGTTTGAGGTCGATAATCGGAAAGGAGGGAGAATGTTCCTTGTCCATGATGGTTGTACACATGGTGAACTTCTTGAAATGGCACAAGAAGATTATGATCTGAACAAGAAAAGCGGGATGGTGGAGCTGAAGTATTCCCTACCAGACGTGATCTTAAAGGAAATGGCTCTAGATACGCCCCATGTGCATGTCACGAATGATAGACAAGTGCGGAACTTGATCGAGTTATCTAAGACTCATATGGTACGCCTCTGTGTATCAAGCCAGTGCCAAGTAGAAGCTGATGATGTGCCTGATGGTGATGATAATATCTTTGCTGATGAAGATACTGATGAATGGTTGGACGAAGATAGTAATGTTGGTGATGATGAAGGGTTGGATGAAGATAGTAATGCTGATAATGATGTTCAAGCAACTGCTGATCTTGGTGTTGATTTTGACGATTGTGTAAACTACAGTGATTATGGGAAAGTGAAAGGTGAAGATTCTGACGAGGATGCAAATGAAACGTTTTATGATGGATATAAAGCGCAGTACTCTGGAGNGTGTTGATTTTGACGATTGTGTAAACTACAGTGATTATGGGAAAGTGAAAGGTGAAGATTCTGACGAGGATGCAAATGAAACGTTTTATGATGGATATAAAGCGCAGTACTCTGGAGTTGTAGGAAGATCGATGTCCTTAAATGAAAATATATATGTCGGTCAGAGTTTTGCTAGTAAGGATGACCTTGTTTCAAAGCTATAGTTGGTGGCTGTGAGAGGTAAATTTACATTCACAGCTTATAAGACAACAAAAACTCTGTATGTGGCTAAGTGTCGTGTTCAAGGATGTGGATGGAAGCTTAGAGCGAGTGTAAAGCATGGACCAAAGACATTTTGGGTGACAAAATATTTGAACACTCATACATGTTCAGTGGGGGATCGAA